TTGATTGGTTTTTATAGGAGCAGAAAATGAGAGAAACACTGTTACAGGAGTAAAAGTATTAGCCAAATCCGATTAAAAGTATTAAGATTAGGAATTTTGAAGTCGTAATCAACGAGGCACAAATTCGCAACGTTGTGACGTGTATCGAGCGAGGTCCTCTCTCATTTGACCTGTACATAAAATGTCATGAATTTTCATTTTCTTACTTACTGACGAAGTAATAGATTTGTTTCATATAGAGGTTATTTATAGACACATTGGCAATGATCATCTAGAGTGATGGTTGATATTTTTTCTTTAGAAGAGTAGACATTTATGATTTAATTTAGTACAAAGCAAATAGGAGGGTACCTCGTAAGATATACATAGTACGTCACAGAGTTGCCAATTCGTGTTCGATCGATTGCAAAGCACTTTATAAATTCATACTTTTATTTTATAATCGGATTTTGCTCAAACTTTCACCGACCTGGCTAAATAATTTTTCCTGAGAAAACAATAAATAACTGTAATAAAATTTAAGGAAACGTTCACAGTGGGATTCCGAAGATGCGTAATTCCGACAATGAGAGATGGTTCTATGGCATTTTCGAAATTATGAACCTTTGGAATAATGAACCTCATTTCAGTTTCAAAAATAGGAACCTTCGAGAATTTTTTTTTTTTTAAACCATAACCCTTATCCTATATTTGATGATCTTAAGCCCGGTGAAGAAGAAAAAAGGCGCTTGATCGTGTTTTGGCTCACAAATATTCATAGACGGTAGATGCAAATCTAATAAAAATAAAGATGGAAAAGAACGATATAAATATTTAAAGAAATAAAACACAAACTCCTAGCTCAAAGGATACCGAAATCCATTTGACACGACTGTGGATATACTTACCGTCTCCGAGACAATGATCTTAGAATAATATGCACATGTCAATACAATAAGACATATATATCTTGGAAATTCCATTAGTTTTGACCTTCAATTAGTACTGTAATAGATATACTTGAAAGAAAAATAGCAAATTGTAGAGACCCCAGATCACAAGGCTTTTTGTATCCATGGTTACTTTATTGTTTGGGTTTTGCAATATTGAAAAATATAATCTTAACAATAACCTTGTGCATGCAGGTAACATGATGTGAAGCGTGTATAACTCTATTAATAGACATATACTCGAGTCTAGCATCTGGACAGTTATATCTTACATAAAAAGACCTAAAAAGCTGAGGCCTATACTCGGATTATCAGATGATAGATCTGGAGGGTGTTTCACAAAGACTAAGATCGACTATGGTAGGCCGTTCATGCCACTGTTTTCTCTCATCATTTACTGGCATTGGTCTCTCAAGGGACGTACAAAATAATCACGGTCACAAATCTACAGAATCTATATTTTTTTGATAATTCCTTATTGAAGGAAAAAAATATTACCTAAAGATCATAATGGTGAGAGCCAACGGACTGCCATATTTAAGTCCAACTTCAAGTCGATCTTAGCCTTTGTGAAACACTCCCTTGGCGTACATGTGTATATCCTAGATTAAAGGCAAAGTTTAACAATGTTAAATCTGAGATGCATGGACCCGTACGTGTTATCAACGTCTGTGATATGGTGTTATATTGAAGCCCTAAAAAAAAATGCGTTTCAAAATGATCATGAAGTGCCTCGAAAAATTAAAAAAATCTTTGAGTGACCAGTTTTAACATACCTATTTTCCCCAATAGACTGCAGTGTTATAAAAACCGTTAGGAAAACGGTTTTTGACATTTCGATTGCCAATCATAAATATCTTGATAATCAGACAGGCGATCGGCTTGTAAAGTCATGGGATTCCTTACTGACCTATAATGTTTATAATTATGATTGCAGCATGAGCTAAATCCAGGATTTTGTTTCAGAAAGTCACTTTAAGGCCGGAAGTATTGAGACGGGATCTCTCACCGTTTCACAAATCTTCAATCAAGGATAATAATAATAATAATAATAATAATGATAATAATAATAATAATAATAATAATAATAGTAATGATATATTGATAATGATAATGATATGTCTTGTTCACCAAGGGGATCCTCATCAGTAAGAGTACTGTCCTTTCCAAGGGCTCTGCAATCATAATATAAGGATATTAATAACTTGATCAATGAAAAAAATAGTCATTAAACTTTAAAGATAAACTTTAGTACTGGTAATGCGATGCATTGTGCAAGAAAAGGTGTGGAAAGGATCAAAAACAGTTGATCATGTAGCATGTAAGTATTGGTGTGTACTGCAAGGTTCTTGAGTCATCAAAATCATAATAAATTTGACCGAGCCTTGGTAAAGTAACAAGCACTGTACACAAAAAGCTATATATGGGACAACACACATGGTGTCGGGGCTAGTACTACCTTGATTTTCTTGTCTTTCTATGCTCATTACTCAGCCAGTATTAATATTCTTCCAAAATGGTTTTGCACATGTCATTTATTTGTAATCTTGAACATTCAGTGTAAGTTTCGTTTGATTCTGTGAGAATTAATTTTCTTCTTCTTTTTTTTTTACCAGAACTGGAGTTTATCTTTAAACGGGGTGATAGTAGTCATCTGAATATGATAACCACTTGAGCAACGCTCAACATCATCGTGCTGTAATTATGACCGAGAATGACAGACGAAAACAAGGGAGGCACTTGTTTTTTCCCAAGGTTCACTACTCCGAATTCTCATAATTCCGAAACACAAATTTTCCATAACAGGGGCTTCAGATCATAATTCCGTACATTTATTGCCCAATATATTGAAACAATATTTTATATACTTTGCGGAATTATGAACGCTCCTTCTTTTTCCAAATCATAGGCAAGACTGATATTCTACTACCTTTTTCTACACAAACCGATTTTTTAATTCTCGGAAAACACGCAGTTTTTCATCAATGCATTTCACTTTGAGGAATTAAATAGAATTTAACAATATCATTAATATCTACATTTGCTAGTATATTTATGACAACACATTAGTAAATTGCTCTCCGTGGAATTTGATAACATAACATTTTACACAATTGTTGTTGTTTTGGGTTTTTATTCACACACAAAAGAAATAGTTTGCGAAACATAAGACACATTTGTGTTATTTTTCCCATTCGGGATGTACATACATTTAAAACGCATCGCAGAATTCTGTGCAAATATACATGTTTCTATTTAATGTATACACTTAATATATAATACTGCATACAAATAGATCTATTGTGTAGAATAACATTAATTTTCAACCGTATAACATATCCATATTAAAGTATTATCACCATGGTTATGACTCACATTGTGTTGCATACATATGAAATAATCATATAAAAATACTGACTGGCATTCCTTTTTGGTTAAATTATAAAAGTTTGGTTTATGATGTATAAATTCATGTATAAAAAACTAATGACCGGTATTCATAAGAACGTACTAATTTTAGAGCAGGTTTATACTATATTTAGGCAATATTCCTCTAATAATAATAATAATAATAATAATAATAATAATAATAATAATAGTCTAATAGTCCACTCCAAATTTTATTAAACCGAAACGGAAATTCTTTTTGCCCCATTGATCGTGAGCCCGGCAGCCACTGAGCAGCGCCAGATCGACGTTGCTCTATTCCTTATTGTTGAACGCCAAACAAGGTAGCAACAACTCCTATTTTTTAACGTCTTTTGGTATGACGCGGCCGGGTCTCGAACCCACGACCTCCCGGTTGTGAGGCGGACGCTCTACTGACTGAGCCAACACTCCGGAGAAGGAGAAGCAATCGCTAACCTCTTCTTTTCGCAAAAATTACCATAAATGTGTGACTAAAAAGACAAACTAAATCAATTAAGTGTAAGATCGCTTTTTCATCAATAATAACTGGATTATTTTTTGTTCCAAAATTAGATCAATTTCTATTGTACAGACCAATATGGATACTCTTTTAAGTGAATTGAGCTAAATCCCGTTTCGTCAAGTCTGCCTTTTTTTTAATGAAAAAACGAATTAAAACGTTGATGTATGGTTTATTTTACGATATGAAGAAAGGTGGGTAAATTTTGGCCTAGAAATACACAATTTAACTAATATGAAAGAATTTAGATCTCATGAAAGGCAAATCTGACGTTCAACTCGAAAAAAACATCAATCTTTTTACTATATGAATGCATATTTATGTTAGAAACGATCTTACTCAAAAAATAAAAAGCGACTTTTACAAGGTTACTGAATTGGGGGAGAGCGCCCGCTTTTGCTACGCTTGTGATTATGGCTAGCAATATGATGACAGTAAAAAGTTACATTTTATCGTGTTTTTGCCACGGTCTACATAGCTTACCCCAAAAGGCATCGATATTTTAATGTTGATAATAATTTTCCGTTGAATAATTTTTTTTAATTCCTTTTTGAGAAAGACACTTTTTTAAAGAACACTTCTATGAAGTATATAGCACCTTAAAACTTGCATAACATTATTTCTTTTCATAGAATGTTACTAGATTTTCTTGGAATATATTCAAATATATTATAACCTGCTAAAAGCATAATTCACAATTTTATGACAAGTTTCCTTCAGCATATTATGTACAAAAGAAGCATGGCTCCTGAATTTTCTTATTATTTTTTCCTAATTGATTTTTAAACCTTCATTTACAACACAATGTTAAAAAAGGAATAAATCATAATTATCCTATACTTATATTTTGAAATAAGTATTTCACCAGTGATTGTTTGTTGGTTAATTGTTGTTTATGACGTTGCTATTTTTTTTTGCTATAATGTTTAAGGGCCATATATCCCATAAAACAGGGTCAAACCCGGTGAAAACCCTACCGAGCAACTCGCCTGGTTCACAATGGGGCCATGATACAAATACAATTGAATGTGAAATACATAATACAAATACATATAATCAAAAAAATACACAGCATTGAAATGAATGTATATTATGATGATTAAGGGTAATTGAATACAAATATTGCAGTAAATGTACGTTGAATGAAATGGTATAAAGCGTGAAATATAGTGCAATATAACAAAATCGAATTACATTATATTTTGTATTCCAATGTAAATATAAATATAGTGTATAAAACGGCACAGAACATGTCATTTGATTAGCTGAAATATCCATACATATTTCACCCATTACTGAAAAATACCTTGTTATAATTATGACCAATATAGTGAAAACCGAAAGCACCGTATTATTCCAAGGGACACCGTACAAGGAGTCGACCATATACACTTATAAACTAAATTGTGCACACCCCTTGACAATTTTATGTTTTTAGGACCTTTGGACAAACATTTAGATATAAGCTCAATGAACATTAATCGGGCCATATCAAATTTTTACAACCTTCAACAATTGCGAAACTTGGTAAGGGCATACATGAAAATTTTAGTTGTTAACTGCAAACGTTTTAGCGAGGGGTAAAGACACAAACACACGATATTGATGAGAATATTCTTTTCACAGTCTTCAGATGAACTTTAACAAAAGAGAAAGAAAGAGAGAAAGAAAGAGGGAGAGAGAGAGAGAGAGAAGGAGAGAAAGAGAGAGATGTACCTTTAAGCGAGGATATCTAAACGCTCACTATTATCAGGTAACTCGACTGCCATTGAAGACGGGAATCCACTGGTGTCATCGACGCTAGCTGAACCGTCACGGATGCCGTCTTCAGTTTCTCTGCTCTGAACTGTGTTCTGCTGCGGATGAACACGAGAAGAGTTTCCTCTCACGCTGTTCATCCACCAGACCAACGACGTCTCGGTCGAGATCGAGAAAGCTTTCCTGGCGGCGACGCGGAACGTCTCGCTACGGAGGGAGTAGATGAACGGGTTGACGGCGCTGTTGAGGTAGGTCAACCAGCTGAGGATGGTACGGGGGACGAGCCCGGGAGCGTACTGCGGCGTGTAGAGGTCGATGAACACGAGCGTGTTGCTCGGGATCCAGGCGATGCAAGTGAACCCGAGGATGATGACGAGGGTCTTGATGGACTTGAGCTCGGAGCGTGGTCGATTGGTTCGCTGATTGCTGGGACCGACCTGCGGCATGATGCGACGATCGGACTTTAACTTTTGCAGGACGATGATGAAGAGGTGTAAGTAAAGAATGAACATGGTGATGAAGGGAATGATACCGTTGACGATGATGAAAAAGTGGAGATGGATGATATCGAAGACGGCGCCGAACTCGAAGCAAAATACCTGCCCTGGGATGAGGGAGTGGATCCCCGCGAAAGGCAGCACCATCGAGATGATGATGCTGTAGACCCACATACTGGTGATGGCGATGGCGGCCCCGCGCTCGGTCGCAATGGTGCGGTAGATGTAGGGGTGGGCCACTTTGACGTAGCGATCGATGGTGATGAGGGTGAGCGAAAGACACGAAATGCTGGTCGAGAATATAATCGGGCACCACACTAACAAGCATGTATACACGCCGCTCGCGAATGTCGGATTTAGAGTCAGATATACACCAGGAATCATCGATAGCGAAACGAGGACGTCGGCGAACGCGAGGCTGACCACGAAAAAGTTCGACATCGTCCATAGCTGTTCGTTCTTCGTGACAAGGATGACGACCAAGGTGTTTCCGAAGAATATAACTATCAAGAGGATGATTTGGACGGCGATGGATATATTTGTCATGATGATGATGTAGGCCGGCAAGACCCAGCCGACATCCGATCCGTAGCCATCGATGTCCGTCGGTGAGACACGATCTGGAAGTACTGTCCCATTTATGATGTCGGTGGTCGGTGTCGATGCATCAATTAACATCTTTGGCAGGGAAAAACAAACCAAGCTCTTTCAAATAACTTTGAAGAAAAATCCGCAATTTGTGTAGATTTTACAACATGCAACGATAATTTGATGAAGCAGGCTTTTGTTTAGTTGATATTTTACCCGAATGCAGGCGATGCGTGGCCACTCAATAACCTGTTGCCCGGCGTTGAGTGAGCTTACAATTGAAAACTGAATCAAGAAGCAAATCTACCAACAATTTAATAATGAAAATTCAACAACAAAATCATAGAGTCAGCTTTGCAACTTAATTTAGAATACTTTCGCTAAATCAACCAGAAATTTAAGGAAGCAGTTTTGCGAGAAGAGACGAAAAGTAGAAAGCGGCAGAAATTCTTTGTTTGCGAGATATTTATCCAGGTTGCAGCCCTCTCTCTCGCGCCGTAAATATTTACATGTATGCAAGTGAGATGGAAAGAGCGCGACACTTTTCGCTGAAAGACTTACCGAAGTGCTGGTAATCAAATTGTGGACTGGTTGCCATTACTTTCATTTCGGTATGTTCATGAGGCGAAATGTCATGAGCTAACTGATTGGTGTATGTAGTATGAAAAGCTTATCATCATTTGTGACGCTGACGAACCAATCATATGCCTCGGACGAGTCACGTGTTGCATTATGATATATTAACGAAGTCTCTGAAGTTCCTCCCCATCTACCGATTCTACCTCTCTTTCTTTCCCTCTCTCCCCGCTTTCTCTTTCCTTGTCTGTCTCACTGTCTCTTATTCTCTCTCTCTCTCTCCCTCTCTCCCTCTTTTTCATTCTCCCTCTCTTTCTGTGTCTGTCTCTCCCTCTCTCTTTTTCATTCTCCACCCCCCTCTCTCTCTCTCTCTGTCTGTCTGTGTGTCTCTGTCTCTCCCTCTCTCTTTCTCAATCTCCCCCTCTCTGTGCGTCTCTCTCCCCCTCCCACTCCTCTCTCTGTCTCTCTCCTTTCACTCCGTCCTCCCTTCTTTTTTCTCTTTACTCTATTATTCAAGCTGTTTAATTTTCCTTATATTTCCCGGTGCTATGCTATCTTTGCTCTCTCTATTTCTATCTCTAGTTTTAAATCCTTGAATATTGCCTACTCTCTTTTCGACGCTTACAATTACGGAAACCAAGCATCAAATAATCTCAAAAATTGATAGCCATGTCAGCAAACCCTTTTGGAAAAGGAAAAATTTGAGATGGTAATGACGGACTGTCTATTTTTCCTCAGACAATTTGCATCATCGTTTTGAGTATATCAGTAGACCATTGTAACCCGCTGTCACACATGAAGGGGTCAAATTCTGTGAAGCTGATTAGTTTAATGAGCTTAAAAGTAATCAGCTTTACGTATAAGGTTAAGGTTCATAAGGTTCATATTTATCGTCCATTTAACAATGGAAATTCATCGTGTTATATGGTATTGCGATTCACATATATTTAACATAATACACTCATACAAAAATCAATAAAAATAAAGGAAAAATTAACAATCAAAACAAAGATATAGTCAAGACAAAGGTATAGTATGATATCATTCACACACGGTTGTTACGAGATTCATTGCGATAAGCGGCAAGTGTTTACTATCAGACAGAATGGTGCGATGCCGCGATCTAATTGGTCGGGGACGTAATACCCGTTCGTATCTGTCCGAACATCGTATATTTCGGAATAAGGGATATTTTAGTTTCAAAGTACTATGTCCCATTTGCAGGCCAAATAAATGAAAAGGTTAAATTCCAATGACATTTGAAAGATAATACTAATTTAGAACTTCCCTCAAAACGACAGGGCTTGAAAATGTCTCTAAGTGTGAAAATGACGACCATTAGTTGTCGAAGCGACTTTATTAATTGCAATCACTACAGTAAAGGTCTGATTTCCAGACCCTTGTACCGATTGGTCGTACGTTGTGAGCTCCGCAAAGATTTAATCAGTTTAATTTTGGCCATTGCAAGAATTGAGTTATTGATGTAGACAAAATTGCTCATGTACCCTTTACAGCTCATGTTATGTATGTTATTACCAAATGCCTACTGTTATAAAATAAACTTGGAATAAAAATAACAAATCGTAGAGACCCGAGATGAAAAGGCTTTTTGTATCCATGGTTACTTTATTGTTTGAGTTTTGCAATATTGAAAAATGTAATCTTAACAATAACCTTATGCAGGTAACATTATGTGAAGCGTATATAACATGCTTTTTTAGTATCAACTACGGAAATGGTGGTGGTTGGTGGTGGTCGTTATTTTACCTGACTGCTAAGAAAGCATAAATGCTTGTAAGTAAGCAACCAGACGGCCGACGGCTTTAGGTCCTCTCCGAGGGACCTGGTAATGAAGATTAATGCCTTTCAAAGGGCACTAGCGCATCACCTTGGTTTCGAACCAGGGTCATCGGATTACGAGATCACTGCTCTCGTAACTGGAGGGATCCACTGAGAAGTAGGGCTTGTCGAATGTGGATCCCTCAAATAGAACGCTAAGCCGGTCTACTCCCGTCGATTTTAAGTTTAATCTTTAGAAACGCGCTGATATATCGTATTTTAATAACTGACAATCTGTCTCATATCTTAATGCGAGTAATATAACCGATTTGCTTATTCTACTGCCATACCTGGTATACTGCAAAGGGATTTGGATTCTCAGCATACGAAAGGTCATAGATTCATTCCTATAGCTTGGTGAGCCTCGAAATAGAATTTCTGGATAGACGGCGCCATACAAATGCCTATTATTATTATTATTATCATTATTATTTACATCCTTGGCCCTTGGGCAAGGTGTTTTTTTTACCCACACTTGAACTTCTTTACAATTATTAGAAATTCGAATTGAAAGAAATATATATTAAAGGGATCCGGTATTTTTGTCTCAGATTCTGAAAACAAATCCTGGAGTTAGCTCATGCTGCAATGATGATTTTAAACTTTTAGGTCAGTCAGGAACCCCGTGACTTTTACAAGCCGATCGCCTGTCTGATTATCAAGATATTTATGAGTGGAATTACAAATACAGTCTATTGGGGAAAACAAGTATGGTAAACCCGGTTACTCAAAGATTTTTACTTTTTTGAGGCACTTCTTGATCATTTTGAAGCGCGATTTTGTTAGGGCTTCGATATTACACCATATCACAGACACTGATAACACGTAGGGTCATGCATCTCAGATTTAACATTGTTAAACGATGCCTTCAAACGAAAAGTGAAAAAAAAAAATTAAATTATAATCACGGGCGCCACCAGGTAGTTTTTTTTTTTTCTTCAAGATGGTGGTCCCTGTGTTGCGACACAATTGTTTTGCCGTCACGTTTTGCAAAAAAATTGGCCGTCGACAATTTGTGCCGCAACATACGTGCCACACTACATTTGCTAACCAGTTTGCCGAAAAAATGTCAACAGTCGAGAAAGCAAAGGAAAATTAAAAAAAAGAAGAAGACAAAAACAATGACAGAGAGAGAGACAGACAGAGACAGACAGACAGACAGCGAGATAGAGAGGGAGAGACAGAGAGAGAGGGGGTGGCGGTGGTCCTCATATGTGATTTTGGTGTCGTTGGTAAAGGTACTATGTCCCATTTGCAGGCCAACACAAATGAAAAGGTTAAATTCCACCCACATTTGAAAGATAATACAGTTAAACCCCCCCCCCCCTTTTGGTATTTTTTATGTGTGTATTTTGGAGGACCCCCTCCCCATTTTGTTTTTTTGTTTTTTTTGTAATAAAAATAAAAAAATAAAAAAAATTATGCCAATGGCTGACCTAATAAAAATGTCGAGACACACACACACACACACACACACACACGCACACACACACACACACACACACACACAAAAAGTGTCCTCTTACCCCCCCCCCCCCCCCTTGAAAAAATCCTACGTACGCTACTGTACATGTGCAGCTATTATACGGATTGCCAGAAAGGTTTCTTTACCCTGCGCTAGATCATCATGGTTTAAAGAGGCATGTTCCCCGTATTCCAGAGGGCGTTCAAAATACGTACCCGCTGGCGGACGGTGCTAGCTGCCTATTGACACCAACAGAATACGGCTCTTACGCAGATGGCATGTTCCGAATGCCCGGACAATACCGATTATCGCATACATGTGCCGAAGTAATGCCAATCGCAGTTCGGCTCTAAGATTCGGCTGCTGTTTCCGCCCACTTTCGTGACGTCGCGATCGTCAGCGATCAGCTGGCTTGGCGAAGGCAGGCCAGGCCGCGCGTACTTTGATTGACAGCTGTATGCAAATTAGAAGTCGATCTTCGGAACCAAGATGGCGATGACTAGAGCAGCGATAACTACACTGGCGGGAACGTGCCACTTTAAGCTTATGACACTTGGGAATATTGTTTACCCCAGATACTTTTTAATAGCCTACTAAAAATACCGAAGTGAGATGAGAAAAGCTGGGCCTTAATCCCAATTCCGACTATTTCTACATCATTTCGAAAGAATTTAACTTAAAAATGCATGAACTGGTTGAATAACAGCTAGAAATAAATGTTTTATTAGTTGCAGGTTGCGAGTAGTTCAATCGAACATTAGAATATAAAAATATAAGAGTGTATATCCTTGTGACATCTCGAGGTTACATCCATGAAAGTGGAAAACAAGGTCGAATGAATTTAACTTAAAAATGAATGAGCTGGTTGAATAGCAGCTAGAAGTAAATCTTTGATTAGTTGCAGGTTGCGAGTAGTTCAGTCGACGATTATAATATAAAAATATCTAGAGTACATTTACTTGTAACACTGGAGGTTAAATCCATGAATGTGGAAAAGGTCAAATAAACACTTGAAATAAGCTGCACACCAATTACGCACATGTAGAGATTCTTGTAGTCCCATACATTTGGATATTAAAAGGAACTAATAAAATAGCAAACCGGTGATGGAACTGCAATTCGAGAGAGAAAAAACATCCGAAGTTTTAATGATAGTATTTTAATAACAACAACAATAATATTAATATTAATATTGAAATAAGAGTAGTAATGATAATAATTATGATTATAATAATACCAATAATAGTTATAATAAAAACAATAATAATAATAATAATAATAACAATATAACAAATATTTTAAAAATATGATA